TTAGAAGGACAATGAAAAGACTTTCAGAAAAAAGTAAGCCAAGAACACCAAAGTCAAGTTATGAATGACATAATTAAACCCAATTTGTCCTACTTTGTGGTATACTACTAACAGATCTTCCAAAACAATGCATTAGCTTTGGTAGGCATTTTAACGACAATTCCAGACTCTTTAAGGAATACTGTAACACAATTCAGTAAGTATATGAAAAGCAAATTAAGTAAGTCACATTACCAAAATATAGTTAAAATCACAATTTTCTTTAAAATATAGAGAAAAGAAAACAAGTATTTGTTTCAGACTGCCATAAGAACACATCAACAGATAACAGTTGCACTTTACTGGATTTCCTTACATCATGATTAATTCCAAAATTCACATCCTGAATGAATTACAATTAATAAACCCAAAACCAATATTTTCCATGGCACATTAAATTCAGTATTTTTAAAAATAATTATGTTACTAATTCAAAGTTTCAAACAAGTCATATTAAAAATAAGTACATGTATATTATTATAATTCTTAAACATTTGCTCATGTATTTCCACATTAATTTTATAAACATATTTTCGTACACATATACTACTTTCTCACAACACTAAATTCAATAAAAAGCAGTGAATTGAATTGTATTCTTTGTTCATCAACATCATTTAATGTTATTTCATTACGATTTTCAATCTCATAAGGAAGACTTTCCTTGCAAGAACCAACTACTTTCATTTTATTTTATTCTTCACATAATTAACCTGATCATATCATTAATGGAATGGAATGAAAAATGTGTTGCATCAGATTTATCTTTACATCAAACATGGCTTAATATTTCTGATGAAAAATTAGTCTTGTTCTAATCCAACACCTTGGGAGAGATGTCACCCAGTAACCTGGTCTTCTGTTTTATATTCTGGTTGTAATTTCATCTATTTATTCATAGATCAAAATTTAAAACTTACTATAAGTTGATTCCATAATAAAATTATTTTTGGTAATTGACAAATATTCTTCAGCAACAAAATTAACTTCATAATGATATTATCATTCTAGAGATGACAGAGAAAATGATAAAATGGAGAAAGAGAGACAGGGTTGCAAAGAAAAATAGAAATACAACTCCCTAAAACAAAATGCTGCAGAAATAATTCATCAATGTTAACTTAAGAGTTGAATGAAATAGGATTGGTCGGTCAGTTTCAAACTGGCTATCTAGGTCTGTGCCTGCCAACATCCTAGCAATTCTCTGGGAGCACTTTTCTAATGTGATACAAGGTTTCCATATCATAAATGAAGACAATGAAGCTAAGTAACGAGAACACAGAAAAGTAAAATAATAATAAATAAATAAGAAAAAGAATGAAAGGCAAGTTTTGCAAGTATTACCGTACAAATAGTTGAATATTTGAAATTATTTTTCTCGCCAATAAAACACGCAAATGTTTTTGGGTAATGACTATACATTAAAACTTTATATATATTTACACACAGCAAAGGTATAGTTAATTTTGATCTATTACTGGTTTTTGTTTTGTTTTTAACTTTTGATTATACATAATACTTTAAGAAGTATATATACTAGACAAATTGTTTTAAAACTGACAGCAAGAAAAATATCCATTTTTTCTTTCTATCTTTCATGTACCCAACATTGCCAAAGGAGCTGTCGATCCTAATACTGTGAACTCCAGGTATTATATGTCTTGTTCTGTACGATCATAGCTGTTCTTTCTAAAAGTGATCCAAGAAACATGTATGATTACATTATTTTCCTTTCTCCAATTAATCATCTCTCCCAACAGTTGGAAGTATTGCGAATAATACCTGTCCTAAATGGTTTTAAGACTGCACAAGGCAGATAATTCTATTTCAATAAATTTGTCACTACTGTTTTTTATCACATCTTACGGTGAAAAAAGTCCTTCAATTTGCAATAATACCCGAACAAAATAGACATCAAATCCAATAGTCATTCTTCAACACAACTTCAGCAGGTGATGGGTAAGATAAGATGCATAATAATTAAGACAGCAAAGATAATAATCTGCAACGAACTCTAATAGATGATTGTTATGGTCAAGTAATTAAGCGAGGTAAAAAATTAATTATTTCATTGAATTTTCTGTTTGAAATTAAGGCAAATAAGAAAGTAAAAACATATTTACAAAATAGGTTGATCTTAAATTAAAGCAATGATACAAGGAAACACCTTTCTTCCCATTCTCACATTTAAAGATGGTTAAAACAAAATATATCAGTAATTAGAATCAACATAACACATCCAGAAAAAGTTGTATGCACTTGAGAAACCCAAATGATAATTGTATGTTTCTTAAGAGAAATTCCCATTAGTTTGCTGACAAAGAGTACAATTTCTTATGAAGTTTTTTCTCGAATAAATATTTTTAGAATTCTAATAACACTACACCTACATTAAATATGTACAACCGATTAACAGAGGAAAAAGTACTCTTTGGCAATATTATTGATCATCTGATGCTTGCACACATTCATTTCCAAATATGATAATTAAGGACTATTTGAAATAAATATACATCATAGATTGATTTATTTTTCAACCAAAGAATAATAATTTCAGTATTAGGATTCTATACTTATTTTATCACATCATTATTTTATGAATGCCTTGGCATATATTCTCATTTCTATTTACAACCCTCACATAATGTAAACATCATTTTACTACTTGCAAGAACATGTTGCACAACTTATCAATATGCCTTTATCAACTGCAATACTTGTTAATAATAATGGACATGAAAAATAATTCTGTCCACCAATGAATTTTTAGTTAATTCACTATGTGGAATTTTAAAATGAAATATAATATTGAGAGAGAGAGAGAAAGGAATATTTTTTTTGTTGCAACATTTAATCTAGTTCAAAACAAAGTATTGCACAAAATATGAAACCATGAACAAAAGGGCGTAATAGCACAGATAACTTTTTTAATGCAATTAATCAAGTCCCTGCATTAAACTGATTATCAAACAAAACATGAGGGAATGAAATACAGGAAATGAGATAAAAAGAATTAATTATTATGGAATGGAAGAAAAGTGCATAACAAATCATAAATACTTACAATACTAACACATGAAATCTTTATATGTAAAAACATGAATTCCTAAACATCAATTGAAAGCTTCCTGAAAAAACACATAAGAAGGAAGACATCCATTTTCAAAATATATTGAGGATTTAATTGAACACTGAACAAAGCCTAAGAAATTCCAATTACCAAAGAAAATACTGATAATGGGCCAACTTTCTGCTCCAACGTGAATAAATCCAATGATATATGCACCAATCTGGAACTATGTAATATTTGTTTCAATTTCAACAATATTATGAGGGTAAGAGATCGTAATCCTCAAAAGAACACAAATATATTAAATTTTATTCATCTTATGATGCAAGCCAATAATCCTTTATTTACGATCCATTAATGTAGCAAGATCAAACTATGTACAACTAGCATAGCATGATTTTATCCTGTAAAATAAATACTGTAATTTCTAGCATAAATGTGTTTATTATATTGCAAGTCTGAAATACTTGTTTATTTCTTATTTTCATAATTGACAAAAATCTAGTCATCTAGTAAACTTATACTCATGAACATATACTGTAAATGGAATTTTGAAACAATGAAATAAGAAGGTATTGCACCCAAACATGAATTAAAGGATCTCCATCAACCTTTCTAAAAATGAATTATCTTATAATCCTGGCAAGCACTGTAATAAATATCTCTCTCTCTCTACAACATACACATACATCCACACACATCTTACACACACACACACACACACACACACAATTTATTGCACCATTTGGTATGTGTTAATGTAATCAACATGAATTTTTTCATACTTTTCCAAAATCTCAGTCTTCAAATAGCATATTCCACTATCATAAAGTACATTATCAGAACAACCACAGACTGAAACAGAATACTACACAACAAATTAAAACACTGATGGGAGTACAATCTTTAAGTATGCATATAACACAATTCACACATCATTTCTTCAAATGGAAAAAAACTGTTTCTCTAACAGAAAGATGCAGGTACAATTTGAAGTTAAATAAAATTAAAAAATAATTGTAATTAAAAACAACTGAAAGAATAGCAACATTAACGGCAGTTTTCAAACTAGCAGCATAATGAAAATTGTTATTGATCATATTTCACCAAAACACGTGCAACAATTTGATAATCTTCCTAAGTAACAACACGTTCATACACGCGTTTTGCGTGCACACACACTCACATATACACACATGCATTCACACTTACACATGCACCAATCTCTTGATGCACAGAACTCTTACTGTTTAACTTCCCTTCAAAAGATATGAGGTTGCAATGTAGGGAATCACAACCATTTCACATGAGATTTATTTCTGAATTCCAATCCTGAACTTCTATTTTATAATTTAAATATATTCATAAATAAAAGACATTTTATTTCTGATTCTAAGTAATTTTTTTTTAAATGTTGCTAACAAGTTTTGCAAACCATATCTTTTAAATAAAATAGAAACTTACAAATAGAGTTCTATTCAGTGTACTTTTTAAACACTCACAATATGTACAAAAATATTAATTCAAGTCTTGAACTGGTAATTGACATTTGTACACTAATTTTATCTCCAGTTTTTACTAAATCTAGTTATACTGTGCAAATTTACAAGACATTGTCCTAAGAGTGATATACCACATCATACATCCTCTTTTATAATCAACATGAAATAAAAATAAGTCCAATATTTGAACAAAGATAATTTAAAACAGTTGACAAATGCTACTAGACTTAGAAACTATTTCATATGTTCATATTTACAAGTCCACCTGCACTTTAAGTGAGGATGGATGGTGGGTACACCTATGCACATAATCTGTCATCACTTGGTGATGGTTAAATTGGATCATCACATTTACATCAGCACTATTAAAAGTATATTTACAACATTCATCACCTAACTTCACATCCCTTGATGACATGTAAAGTATTTTTCAGCTCTCTAACACTACCATCATCGTTGTGAACATCCTTTGTGTTATTTGGAGTAATGTTGGTTGGCAATTCAGATGTTGACACTTGTTGGGGCTGTGTTTTCATCACATAACCTTCTTGACATCTGGCTAACTTTAAACGAATAGGGCTCACTTTGGACGTCCGTATATTTTCTGGCATTAATCTACTTTTACTACTACTGTTATTGTCTGCAGGTACCACTTTTGTCACAGAACTTTCTTCCTCCTTTGAAAGCAAAATGGGTCCTTTATCACTTCCTGTAGGAGAAGATGCAACATCTTGACACACGCAATTTTCTTCAGTTCGGAGAGGTACTCCAGTACTTTCATCAGGGACACTTTTAATACTATCATTACCTGCACTACCACTAACACGCTTATTTATACGAATAACAATTTTAGGAGCAGTAATTTTCTCAGAAGTTACTTTGTCAACAAGTTCAACTTTACGTTGAGGATCTGGCAGCCGCTGCTTACGTCGCTTACCAGAAACCACTTTACTCTTTTTCTCTTCTTCTTCAAAATCTGCCATAATTCTACGACGAAATTTCATACTTTCCCTTTTCAATTCATCAACAGAAGGCATCTGAACATTTGTTAGTCTCTTCTTGGGAGGTCGCACACGCAGTTTCTTTTCTTCAATGTTGCAATCTGCATCAGATGCAGCTACAATACTATTCCCAATTTTGATTTTCAATTTAGGAGCCATTGGTTCAGATGGAGAAGCAGTTGCTTTGGGAGGGCGACCTCTCCTTTTAGTAGGTGGAGTAGTTCCATCAGGTAAATGGGCTAATGAGGTCACACTTGCGCCAACATTCCTTCTCCGATCAGGAGTGTCATCCACATTTAATGGAATATCTAAATGTCTTAATTCTCGAGATACAGACGAAGAAATGCTAAGTTTTTCTTTGCGACGCTTTTTTTCCATATTAGCATCAACTACTGCTTTATAATCTTCACGTGTAGGAATGCTTGTCATCGATGCAACAGCTTTAGGAATTGTGATTACAGTACGGTTAACTGGAGGAGTGGCGGTTGGCACCATTGCTTGCCCAGTTGGAGCACTAGTGGGATCATCCATATTCATATCTTGAGTCCAGTACTGCCGCAAAAGTTCCTTTTTTCGCATGCGTCGAAGATTTGAAGTACCCGATGAGGAAGTTGCTGATGACACTGCTGTAATTGCAGTAGGAATAATACTTGATGGAACATCAAGAGAATTCAATGTAGGCAACGTAGGTTGCTGTTGTGTCAATGAAGTTACTGCAGCAGTGGCAGCTGCATAGTTTGCATCTAAAAAGGGACCTTTTATTTTAACTTTCAGCTGGTTGCGTGAATCAGTGAGGGATACTTTGTTATTGGATAGTGCACAGGAATCAGATTGTTCTTGAACAATTCTATTACCGTCCACTGAATTACAATGCTCACCAGAGGTTTGATTGATGTTCAAGCGTTTACTCTCTACTAATACAGAATGCAAATCATTTTCCATTTCATCTTCAAAGTCTGCTACATGTTGTTCAGATGTTTCAGATGTGAAAGTTCCCAACAGACTATTATTGTAAGCAGCAGAATTATTATTGGTATTAGGTTCATAAGAAGTGTTGTAAGTGCGCATATCAACAGGACCAGGTAAGAGAGGTTGAACTACATCTTGAAATGGTTCAGAAGATGCATTGGGAATTGGTGAGAGGGTTGATGCTATTTCACTGTCCTGAGATCTGAGAGGTAAAGGAGCTTGCAACTCTTTAACATCAACACTGTTATAAGAGGAACGAATTTTTGAATTTTGAACAGGAAGTGTTGGACTTGATAACTTTGGAGAAGATGGTGAATCTTTTGGAATTAGTGTAACATCAGATTTTTTCTCATGCACATCAGTTGATCGCCTCCTTTCCCGCATTGCTCGTAGATTCTCAACACTTTCACTTGGAGAATCGTCATCAAATTCTAAATCGTACACAGTCCCAACTAACTTACTATGTATTGTGTTATTACTATGATATTCATTATCTTGAAACATTTGAGTAAATTGATTTCTTCCTCGGCCTCGACCACGGCGGGTTGCACCACGAGGCTGATTATAAATTGATCGACTAACTGTAATCTTTCCACTACTTGAACGTTTACCACCATTTTCACGAACACGATTTTGAGCAGATTTTGCAATAGAAACCTCCTGTCGAGGTGATTTCCCCGGCGATTTACCTAATTGTGATGTAAAACGAGCTGAAGTTCTAGTAGGTTTTACTGGTGACTTTTTACCACCTAGTGTGCAATTTGATGAAGGTTTCACTGGAGGTGAATCTTGGGTAGATAATGGTAATTGTAAAGGCCCAGGAATGAATGCAGAAGAAGAAGAAGAAGAAGCAGCAGCAGCAGCAGCGGCTGCAGCAGATGGAGGAGGAGGTGGTGATGATGAAGATGAGGATGAAGACGAGGAAGAAGATGATGATGAAGAGGAGGAAGAGGAGGAAGAAAGTGGTGGTGGCGGAGGAGGAGGTGGCGGTGGTGGTGGTGGAGGTGGTGGAGGCAGAGCTGGTGATGGTGGCAACTGAGGAGAAGAGGATGGTGAAGGTACTGAAGGTAAAGGCAATGGAATTACTGAAAGCTGTTGAGACATAAGTGTGGTTTGGGGAAGTTGATGGGGTTGTAACTGTTTTTGTTGCAACTCCCGAGGGTTTTCTTGCTGCTTTGAAAGTTGATGCTCTTTATTTTCTGCAAGTTTCTGAGAGGCTTGAATTTGACAACCAGAATTTGGTGAGAGAGATTCAGGCAATTGCTGAATATGTCCCTGAGTGGTGAAAGATGCTGATGCAAGTGAAGGATCCATCTGAAGAACTGGGGAAGGAACAGATGCAACAACAGTTGATGTAGGAACTGAAGGAGAAACCATGGCAGCTGTAAGAGCCATGTTGTGAGACGATGATGTAAATGTGGCAACACAAGGAGGGGCTCTCGATCCTTGATCCTCGGGAGACTTTGGAACGGAGGGTAAAACTGAGTGGGAGGCAGAGAATGAGGATCCAAAAGGAGGTGGGAACATCCCAGGTGATGGGAAAGGTAACTGCGGACAAGTAGATGGGGGAAACAAAGTAACAGATCCAACAAATGGTGTAGCTTCAGAATAAGGATGAAATGGAGGCGCATCAGTGAGAGTACAAGGTTGGAAAGAAGGAATCGCAGTATGTAAACTTTGATAAGATGAAATATCAACACCAGGTGTATGGGGTTCAAGTTGCAAATCATCATTTTTTTGCAAATCTATGTCTTCTCGATGAGAAGATGACGAAGATGAAGACGACGATGCAGCAGAAGACGACGATGACCGCCTAACAGGAAGAACTTCACTATCATCCCATTTTGTTCTATTTGGAATGTCTGCATATGGAGATGAAGCAGATTGGCAATCAACTGATGGAGGAGGAACTGACTCGTAGGGATGGGGCAAAAGTGAATGATGATGGGAGTTTATAAAGTCGAGACTGGGAGGAACCCACTGTTCATCAGATTGAGAACCATTATTTTTATCAAGTTTGTCTCTCCTAGGTGATACTTTCGAAACATCAAGATGACCTCCACACTGACGAAAATCAAAAGGTACATTGATATTACCACTGTAGAGAGACATATCCGCCTTTCCATCATGCACATCCTTCCTTGCTGCCACTGGAGGACAAGGATTATCAACTGAACCCGTAATTCTGCAAAATTCATTCACTTGGGTGTTATAAAAATTGTTACTGTTTTCTACCTTCACAGCAGGAATTTGTTCATCCTCTTTAATTCTTGATTCCTCATTCACCCCATCAGGTACAGTGCTGTTCTCTTTTTTGAGATTTTCCCGAAGAGAAAAATTGGGTCCTTGAATGGAGTCTTTCATAGAAACAGCACACAATTTAGAATCAGCAGCATTATGTGGAACAGAATTGGGAGAAATGGGAGCAGAAGAGGTAGAAATAATCACTGGGCTTGCAGTTGTAGAGATGATAGTGTTGGGCGTGGTTATTATTGAAGAGGTGGTGAATGAAGGATATATAGCTGTGGCAGTACCAACATTAGAAGCAGAAGCAGTAGTAGTGATAGTAGTAGTAGAAGGAGGAGGAGAAGAATGAGGATGAGTAGAAGCAGCAGCAATAGCAGTAGTGGTAGCAGCAGTAGTAGTAGTAACTGCAGAAGTCATAGTGACACTAGAATTATTAGTTACAAACACAGTAGCAGCCATAGTATCATCATTTTTATTAGTTGTAGAAGTAGTAGTAGTAGTAGTAGTAGTAGTAGTAGTTGTAGAGGAAGAAATTGAATCGGCAACAACAGTTCCAAATGTTGACCTAACACCTTCTGAACCAATATAAGAAGAAATGTTTGCAGCAGAAGTGGTACCAATGGAAGTGTTACCAGCAACTAGATTATTCCTTAAGTTACACACATAATCTGCAGAGGGGGGTGGAGATAAGCAGTTCCCTGCGGTAACAGAACCAGAAGTAAGTATTGGAACAGTAGAAGTGACACTTGGGTTAGTAAAGGGGCTGGACTTAGTAGCAGCAACTGCAGTTGGGGTACAAGCAACAACAGGAACTGTAGCAGCAGAATCAGAAGTAGTAGTAGTAGTAGTAGTAGTAGTAGTAGTAGTAATAGCAATACTAGCAGCAGCAATAGTAGTAATAGTAGTTGTAGTGGTGTTGGTATAATTAGCAGTAGAATCAGGAACAGTAGTAGTGGTGGTGGCAGTAGTAACAGTAGTAATAGAAGAAGGGAGAATAGCAGCAGTAGTAGTAGCAGCTGCAGTAGCAGAAGCAGCAGTAGTAGCTGCAGTAGCAGCAGTATTAGTAGTAGCTGTAGCAGCAGTAGTAGTAACTGCAGCAGCAGTAGTAGTAACAGCAGCAGCAGCAGTAGTAACAGCAGCAGTAGTAGTAACTGCAGCAGCAGCAGTAGTAGTAGTAACTGCAGCAGCAGCAGCAGCAGCAGTAGTAGTAGTAGTAGTATTGGTGGTTGTGATAGTGGTGGTGGTAGTAGTAGTAGTAGTAGTAGTAGTAGTAGTAGTAGTAGTAGCACCAGCAGCAGTACTACTAGCAGCAGGAACATCAGTAGTAATAGTGGTGGTAGCATCAGCATCATCATCAGCAACAGTAGTAGTAGTAGTAGTAGTAGTAGTAGTAGTAGTAGTAGTAGTAGCAGTAGAAGCAGCAGCAATAACACCACCACCTTCAGTACTACTACTACTACTACTACTACAACCACTGCTGCTGCCACTGCCACCTCTACCACTATTAGTTCTACTTTTGTTACTATTACCACCACTGCCACAACTACTACTGCTGCTGCTCTTATCACTACTACCAATACTACCACTGCTACTACTACCACCACCACCACCACCACCACTACTCCTACTTCTACTGCCCCTACTCCTATTTCTGCTACCACTACCACTGCCACCACTACTACTATTATTACAGCTAACATTACTATTACTACTACTGCTGCTACTACTACTACTGTTACCAACAGCACACTTGTTACTGTTTTTCACACTCTTGCTGCTGCTGTTACTACTACTATTACAACCTCCACCACCACCACTATTACTACTACTACTTTTGTTCAATTTACAACTGCAATCTTTGCCACTATTACACAAACAAAGGGAAGGGAGGCAGACACCCGTATTAGAAGTACTTATTGTGGTGATGAGAGTAGTAATACCAACAGTATCGGGAGAAATATCAGGAACAGACGTAGCAGTCTTAGAAGTTGTAATTAGAGGAATGCCTGGAGATGATAGTAATGGAGGGGGAGGAGAAAAATTTTGAGATGGTGCTGTAGAAACAGCAATATTATTACCGCAAGCATTACTGCTATCGGTAGTGGAAACTGAATTAGCTCCAGTTGCTGTTGTGATAGCAGTAGAACATACCACAGGATCAGTAAGTGTGGTGGTCATGGAAGTAGTAGATGTGTTGGCAGCAGTGTTGGTGGTGGTAGTAGTAGCAGCAACAGCAGCAGCAGTAGTAGTAGTAGTAGTAGTAGTAGTAGAAGTAGTAGAAGTAGTAGAAGAAGAAGAAGAAGAAGAAGAAGAAGAAAGGGGAGGAGGAGGAGATGGGGGAGAAGGTGAAACAGGAGAAGTAGTTGCAGCAGTAGAGGTAGGATGTGGAGAAGTAGAAGAGCACATGGGGACATCTGCACTGTTGTCATTGATACTAGTAGTGGTAGGTGTAGCAGTAGCAGTAGTAGTTGTAGCAGTAGCAGTAGTAGTTATTGTAGCAGTAGCAGTGGTAGTGGTAGTTGTAGCAGTAGCAGTGGTAACAGAAGTAGTAGTAGTAGTAGTAGTAGTAGTTGTTGTAGTAGTAGCAGCAGTACTAATAGTAGAAGTAATAGTAGCAGTAGCCACTGAAAAATTCATAGCAGTCGAAGTGTTAATTGATGTAGTAGGTGTAGTGGAAGTAGTAGTGGTAGTGGTAGTGGTAGTAGTAAGACATGAAGATGCAGTCTTTGATTCTGATATGTCTGGTGTTATAACATTGGATGTTGATTTTTTTGCATATTCGAGCCTTAGTTTTTCAACTAAATTCAATGTTTCCCGTGCACTATCCTCTTTTGTATCCTCTTTGAATAAAAATTCACTGCTAAAAGAAAATGAAAGGGGTGCTCGCAACATTTCGTCTGAGTCTCTTGGAATACTGAATCCATCATCATTAACAGATTCATCAACAGCCAGTATATCATTTTCAAAATCAAATAATTCTGAAACTCCTGGTTCCTTTGGCTGCTGTTGGGGTGAAAATATAGAACGCTGATGCTGAACAGAAGAATTTACTGTAGATGACTTATGTTTCCGTAGTTCTGTGTCAGACTCTGGGACAACGCTATCAGTACTAGTTTCAACAATACTTGTTTTTTCTGAACAATGAGAAGCATTAAATGATTGTGAGAGAGGGGCTTTAACAGGATGATCAACATTTGTAATATATTCTGATGAATAAATTTCTTTTGAAAATCTCCGAGATGTCTCTTTTTCTCCAAATAAATTATTAACAGGAGATCTTAAGACATTTTCTTTTGACACACATTTAGAATTCTTCTTAGTCCTTTCACCATCATGAAGAATACTACTCGTCAACTTAGCATTATGATCATTTTTTAGTTTTTCAATTTTCTCTTTTGTGTTAGGTTCATGGTGAAGAGAATTTATTTTTTTGTTTCGAGAGAAAGTTTTCAATTTTCTTCTACTTTTATCATCAATGTTATCAGCAACTTTATATTCACTAGAAACTTTTTCTTTGTCAGAACTGAAATCTATCACATTAGTTGAATGATTCCCAGGAATTTCTGGAACTTTTGTACCAATCTGAGATTCTAAGTCTGTTTTGTTGCTTGTTATTTGCTTACAAGCCTTATGAATAACAGAGTGTTTCTCACTCTTCCGTAAATGTTTTTCTACATTAGTTATTGCAGCATTGTACTTTAAGCTTTTGTTAAATAAATCTCTAGAACCGACATTGTTACTATAGCTGCTACCACTACTATTGTTGCTGTTGTTATTACTACTGCAACTATTATTATTTTCAGTGATATTAGTTTTATCTTTCTTTTTGCCTTCTCTTTCTAACCCTTGAATGACCCTATGTTGCATTTTCAGGTCAAGAATAACTTTGGAAATGTCCTCATGCTTGCAGTTCTCTTGTATAGTATTTGGACTATCTCTAGCAATTCGTACATTTTCTTTTTCATTAACGTTTATTGGGTCATTATCAGTAAATTCTCCTTTACGCTCCATTAGTTGTAACTTTTCAAAATCATGGGTTTCAATTTTTTCAATAGTTTTGGGACATATATTATTTTTTTCGTGACCATCCAACAATTCTCTACCACTTGCCTTAAACAGAATTTTTTCTATAGTTTTCTCCCTTTTTTCAAATAGTCTTTCTAAGCAACCTTTACTGTTGGACTTGCTCCTCGTCTCTCTTTCGGCCTTTCTTTGGGCAATTTCTTTCTCTAATTTTGACGTGGTGTGTTCTTTAGTAACACTGTCTTTCACTGAATTTTTTTGAACTTTAACCTCAGTTAACTTGGAATCTTCAGCTGACTTCTTATGTTTGATATCACTAAATTTCACTTCTTTAACTGAACAATCTGATTCAACTGTTACTTTGTCAATTTTCTCGGTCGTAGTTGGCAACACATCACTGGACTTGCTTCTCTCTTTTGCTTTCTTGTCATTTCTTTCTTCACACTGACTTGTGTCTTCTGGCTCATCAAATTTTTCGCTTGATTTTCCCTTCCTTCCTTCAATTTTCGTTTCTTCAATCTCAGCTTTCTCATCTCTTTTTTCTGGATCTGATTCTCTGTTTCCAGACCAGTTCGACAACTCCTCAGCTCGCGGAGAACTCGATCGGTGGCAAGGATTACCTTTTGATGAGGATTCTTTTTCGAAGCTATCTTCGCAGGAACTGTTTCGATTTTCATTGCCAAGTAAATCTCTTGATTTGGTCTCAGTGTTTCTGAGTCTATCACCATCATTTGATGCAGTAGCCTCGTGACAGACATATTTTCTTCTCCTGAAAAATTTGTCTTTGGCTTTGGACAATTTTTCCCTTTCAGAAACTGGCGGCTGAAACTCATGTTCAGGCCGCCCGTCGGAAGTTTTAAGCTTCTTATCAGGCGCCTTCTTGAATTTCTTACCAGCCAGTTTTGAATTTGTATTTTTTCTCTCAGTATTATCAGATGTCTTTAATGTACAAGAATCAAGTTTTCCAACAGAACTTTCCTCTTTTTTGTTCTCAATAAGACCTTCATTTTCACTTTCATGTGAGGCTATGCAACCTTTCTTTTTACTCTGAATGGTTTCATCGTATTCTGAATCACTGCAGGTGGAACTGCTGGTTAACTGGTCTTCCTTATTAGGAAAAGTCCAGTCCGAAGCAGTGACAGCCTTTTTTCTACGAACTTTCATCTGTGAATCTTTCTTTGCCGATAGAGTGTCAGAAATTTTTTTCTCGACATTTTTTACGTCTTTTTTCACCAGTTTCACTTTATGTCCATTTTTGACTTCACTGTCAGACGAAGAATCACTAGAAGAAGATGAAGATGAAGAAGATGAAGATAAAGATGCCAATATATTTCTGGATTTTCTTTGGCATTCTTGATTTTTTACATCTACTTGTTTTTCATTGTCTGAATCCTTTTTTAATTTGACTTCTTCTTCCTTTTTACATTTTGGTGGAGAATTAGAATCTTCCTTCTTAATTTTATTTTCTTCTTCCAATTCTCCTGAGACTGTTTTCACATTACCACTACTTTTTATATGGGCAGCTGCCTTTTTTGCTGCTTGTCTCTGAGGAACATAAGCAAGAATCTCTTGGGCATCACTACTATCTTTCTCAAAATCATATATATCACTTAATTTTCCATCTTTATTAATTTTCATCTCTTTTCCTTCCCGGTTTTTAATTTTAGATTTAGGTTTGATTTTGATATCTTCATTTACTGAGGGTTTAAGCACATCCTGTTCTGAGCCAGTTTGGTCTTTAGGTTTATTCTGTGAGAAACGCATGCTCTCAGTGGCCTTTTTAGCAGCTTGTCTCTGAGGAACAATTAATTCCGTGGTATCAAGTTCTTTTTTATGTGATAATTTAACATTTTCTTTGTCTTTGGTAGAATCATCATCATTTATATCAACAGATTTACACCTATGTTTTGCACTTCCTACAGGTTTAGAGGCATTCTTCTGAACTGGTAAATCCACAGACTGTATGCCTGCAGAAAATTCCTTTACAGCTGCCTTAGTACGCAAGACATGCTGATGTGAATCACTAGGAGCATTAGATGATTTATCTTCATTTTGATTAGTAGACTCACCTTTTAAAGATAAATCAGATTCACTATCTGAATAAATAGCACTTATCGGATGCTGACGATTTTTTGTTCCCACAATTGGTAAGAGTTCTTCACTATCATCACTACCTGAGATTTTATCACCTAATTCACGTTCCATTTGTCGTAAAGTCCTACTACATGGATTATGCCACAAGTTATTTGATTTACTTTCCTCTTCACTTGAAGTTTCAACTCTTAATCTGGATAATATACTTCTTTTACAATTCCGTCTTTCTGATAATTTTGCCATATCTGAAATTATACCTTTCCTACCACAGTTAAGATGTTTGTGAAGTGCACTTCCAATTTTTTCATCTTCTGAACTGGATAGCATACCATCTTGAAGACTTGATTGTAAAGAAACACACTTATTAACACCTTTATGATGAGATGGATTAATGTCAATCCTTCTGCTGCTGCCTATTCCTAAATCAGTATCACTCCCACTAGATATACTGTAAAAACTGCTACGTCGCCTTGTTGCACCATTGAAATACAACCTCTTGTATGGATTATCTAGAGATTTTTTATCAGAACATTTGATCAGTCCATTGAGGTCAATCTTACTCTTTTCCTCAGAACAAGAATAAATAGGAGATGAAACACCTGCAATACGTGCTAACACAACTTCAAAATTTTCAGTTTGGTCCTCAGTAGAAGGCTGAGAATATAACTTATCATAAATTGATGGTCCATGATTTGCTTCTATTACAGCAGCTACTTCTTTGCCTTTCAGACTGCAATTTGCATCACTTAACACTGCCACTTGTTTGTGGAAGGTCTGTTCTCGCATACGAAAAAATGAACGTGATAATTTTTCTCTTCGGCTAACCATGTAGCATAAATTCCGGACCTATAACAAACAAAGAAACAGTAATTAATATCAATACTAAACAATACTAAAAACATGCTCCTAAGTCCTTTCTGTTTGTTTGTTTAACCTGGCATGTTGCAAATGATTCAAATTTCCCAGCAGTAAATGTGGGATATTAACCATCGGCATCCATGTAAAAGCATAAATTAAGATAGGGTGATATGCATACGTATGACTCGTCTCTTCATGCGTGTTATCATATGCTAAAGAAACCTGATGAGTTCTATTTAAAACTAGTGGTGCTTAACAGCACATACTTTCACACATTATTTGTACTGACTACGAAATATTATAATACTACATGAACGGGCATTGGTGTTTCCAACAAGAATTTTTTTCTCTCCACTGGCATTCGAACTGGTTTTTAGAAGACTCACATCATCCATGTTATCCCTACTCCGCCAGCATTACAGCTAAATTCAATCTTCCCATTGCATGAAAACAGCTGAACATTTGCATTTGTAAGTCTTCAAAATTCAAAGATATTCTTTAATATAAAATATCTATAATCAATTTTGTAATTTTTGCTGTGTTAATTTTTGGTTGTAAATTTTTGTAAATACACCGAGTTTGCCAATAATTTCCATCGAAGCCCTGCGAATACGAAATGATTTTTTTGTTTCAGTTCTTTACTTAAAAGTCTGCTGATTTTTAAACTTTACTCAATAATGGCTCAATTTTTTTTAACTTTGATGATTCTGCTTGAAGAATGAAATATGCTTATAAATGTGAAACAGCTTTGATTTCATTTGAAAACCTCTGGATTTTCGAAAACTGCTAATGTAAAAATTTTTTGGATCTCCCAACACATACATACATGGACAAGTTATTAGCAAAATCATTCGTTAAGACTCTGAATTATGACTTTAAGGGTAAAAAGTACTAAATGGACAGCGGTGAAATTGTTATATTTTCTTTAATGTGTTCTGTGCATGTTAGTAAATGTATCCCTTGATTGAAATGTTCATTTACGCGAATATATTTGTTTTATAAGACATATCCTGTAATGACACCCATTTTCACAATATTTTGTATTATTGGAGGTGTCTTTGGGTGTCATTTTTTTCCTCAGAGCTTGTATGTTTGCAAATGCAATTTGTCAGTCCACATTACAGATCTAGATCTAGATCCCATTCCAAACCTGTCCTCAATTGTGAAAATAGGATGGGAGCACAGATATCAAGAGTTTCTCATAGTACGAGAGTCCGTGAAAGCGTAAAGCCGGACAAGGCAACAGGCACGTCTCCACAAAAATGTGCCAGACTTGTAGTGTTACTATTATCTAATACTATAACGATAATAAACTAATACTATAACCCAAATTAGTCAGATGTTAGTAGATTTGCGAAAAAGTGAAAGAGAAATGGACCACACCTCAAAGAAAGTGAAAAAGTGAACAAAAGAGGGCTCCAACCATATTTTTATTCTGTATTTTGTTCAGAATAGCATTCGTAAAAATATATTTAACATCTTGACCCTGAGGTGTTGTCCAAGAAAATGGAGTACAAATTTCCTCAAGAACTGTAAGGAGGAGACCATTTGAAAGAAGTTTAGAATACAGGAAGGACCATTTAGAATGAAAATGATGAAATTGCTGAAATGCTCAAAAAAATTTGTTCGAGGCATTGGCCCAAATGAATTAATGCATTAATTAATGCTAAAGGAGCTCACAGCAAATATTAATAAGTTTGTAGCTTCTTCAATTCTATAGCTTAGTTCAAATGGTTTGAGACAAAGATATTTTTCTATTATATACCATTTTGCTAATAATTTGTTCACTTCTGTACATTCTGTACAACTACATTGTGATTTCTTTTTATGAAATTTTTCTTCATAATTGGACATTTAATTAACATGTATTTCTTGTTTACAAATATGAGCCGAGTTTGCATAATTTCGAATGAAATCAGGGCAAAAACTATTTAAACAAAATTTTCTCAATAACCCCTCAATTTTCCATTAAACCTCCTTGAAACAGAAAAACAGGTCTCATTGCTGTTCATAAGAGAATTATTTGCAATAATAAACGGTAAACAAAACAATATCAGATGTTTCAAATTGGTTCTCAAATATACTAGGAGCTCCAACAGCACATACTTTCTCGCATTATTGGAAATGGTTATGTAATATTGTAATATTGCGATTTCTACCCTACTAATACCTCAGCTAAAACATGAAAAAGTTTTAGTTTAGGTTATCAACCAATTCAAATGAAGCTCTTGTGGTGCTTATCAGCATTTAATTTGGTAGTTAGGAACTGTAGTCGTTTTTTACTTTTACAAATGAAACAAACATAAATATATTGAACTATTACAGTATATGCCACACATTAAACAAAAAACTTAAGAATAATTTCTCACAAGCTTGCCTTGATTATATTGAAGTGAGCTTACAAATTTTGAATAACATGATCAGAACTTCTTAAATCTATTTGAATGTATTACTTTCCTTAAATCTATTTCCTTTCATAAAAATAATATCTATATCATATAATTGACATGACAGAAAGTGCAGGATGTATTAATTAATATTAAACGACAACTTGCAAGAATCCAAAATCATATTATTCAATCCACACAGCAAAAGAAATTTTCTCACAACCACTGTCGCATATCGTCCTTTTCAATAGACTGCTTTGATCCAACAGGTTTCAGGCTCATCACTTGATATACTTCTGCACACAAATGTCAGTAACTGACACTGAACACATGTATCAAAATCTGATCATTCTGTACTGCTGACAATTGCTTGATTTCCATAAACTGGAAAACGCAGTGTATTCAAACCTTTATTTAGAAATAACCATTGGGCTGCGTTTACAAGAGCGAGAATCTTCGCTGGATTCAAAACTAACAGCACAAGTAATGCATCTAAACACTCTTGATGAGAAGGACTGAAACTATCAATTAGCAGTATTATATGCACCACTAAAAAAAAATTAAATATAAACAAGTAAAAAACAAGAAAATGGGTTTTCAAAAAATGAATACTACGCTAGCACTACTCATCAGAAAGGACACAAATAATTGAAAAACTTAATAGCAACACTGAAAAATTTGAATGATGAATCAGATTATAACTGAGAAATCCATATTGAGAAAAACCTACTGAATGGAACTCCTCAAAAGTCTTCAAATATGTACAACAAAAAAGTCAACAAAACCTACCATTTCAAATATCATAACCGAACAAGAAATGATGAGTGATCTAGCTGTAACCCCACGATTTTCACTAATATATTTCATTAGGAACTTATCAATGGAACTAAATTGGTAGATGATAATCCAAACTTTGCAATTTATCCAATTAGGTAAGGCTCACGAAGCATTAAGTCCTCTAAAATTAGATGACCTTTATGGAAGCAGATAGAATCTGTTCTGTTTTTGACAAATTGTCTTCAAACTGAGCCTTGCTGTTACTGCAACATTCTCCAGTTTCTGTCATGAAAACAGACCATTGTCAGGTAACATATAGGTGAGATAGAACTGATAGTGAACTGGCTACACATAGTTGTTCCTATTAATAAGAACAACAGCAACAGAATGTTAGCCTCTATACAAGTGTATCTCATTAATATTCACTTTAACCGCACAGACAAAATTGTTGTGTAATATTTGCAGTTTATTGTACAAACATGGCCATGATTCTTTCATGGTATAATACACTACAAAACTGATCATAAATACTTTAAATTCTTCCTTGTGCAGAAATTATCACATTAGTCATCCCTTCTTTCCTCACAACTGTAAAGATATAAAGATTCAATTTTCACAATCAATGTCAGTAAAAGTATTATATCTTTGTACATTTTGTTATTTATTTTTTTTACTACTATATGGAGTCATGTAACTTTAGCACCTCCTAAAACTTTTGCACGATTGAAGTTATTGCAATGCAGTTTACATGGAAGTGCACGAGGGAATGGGGCTAATTGATGTGTGTATTCATTTCTATTTTATTGCTTGTCTTTACGAGATATGAGGTAACTTCGTTTGTTTTTTTTGTTTTTTTCAAATAGAACTACACATTTTTTTTCAGTCTATCATGACAAGTATAAAAAAACAAATCCAATGGTACACATATTGTCAAGTTACACAAGACTACTTCAAAATATCCATTAAAAACCAATTGTAAAAATATAAAAATTGCTCAAAAAATATTTATCTAACTGATGACAATATGTATATCATTGCATTGTCTTTTTACACTCGTTATGATAGACTAAAAAAATATGCCTAGTTCCATTTAAAAAAACAGTTACCTCAATATTTCATAAAATACAAGTGATAAAATTGAAATGAATCCATGTATTAATTAGTCCCATTCCCTCGTGCACATCTGTGAAAACTGTATTTTGAATACCTCAATGAACTTAAAATGATTTCAAAAATTTGCATCCATTCGATGTAGAGAAAGTTTTGTTTTTTTATTTCTTTTCAAAGGCCCAATATAATATTGCAAAACAAATAGTACAGTGGTGACTGGGCATAATTAAAAAACAGAATTAAAAATCAAAAGTTAAAAGCACTGATCAGCATTATCAGTGTTGCTTTACTGAAACAAGATAAAACAAGAAATATTATACTAAGAAGTAGATTCATAAGAAGTTTGTTTTAAATCTTGCATACCCATTGATATAAAAAAGGATACCTTTTGACATAATAATAATAAATAAAATAAAAGCAAAGGACAGAGACACATGAAAAAAAGAGTAGATATTTCAATTGTCACAACACTAGTATACAATTTAGTGTACAATACAATGTACGCCAAGTAACACTTAATAAATTTTGAATTGCATACCCTTTCTAAATCTTGTCGAAGTTGTACAAACATTTTCATTTTTTCAAGATCTGCTTGTTCTTGTTGTCTTGACAATATATCAGCATCTTCATGTTTTGGAGGAAGCAATGGTCTGTTGAATGCAGCCTGAAAATTAAAATTCATTCGAAATATTAATTCCATAACACAATTAAAACTTAACAAATTATCATCTGAATTTTACCTTTCACAGCAAATTGGCATTAATAACAAATGTTTTCAATGACAACAGAACATTTCAATGGTTTCATGGAATTCAATTCCAATCACAACTTCCACATAAATTTCTTTCTTATACACACTGTGCAATGAAAACACCTAGCCAACTTTGAGAATCACAATCCATGGGTACTTTTATGGATTAACTTTAGTCCTATTCAATCTGTTTTGGGACTGATGTTATAAACCTTGTAAATCCAGGTTTTAAGGTTCCGAAACACTTTGTTTTGGAATTACCATATTTACCCGAATATAAGATAAAAATAAGGTTCCTCCCACCTAAATATCTTGTTCCAAAAATATGGTGGTGTCTTATATTCGCACATTAACACTAGTCAAATAGGAGTTATGTTTTTACACTGCTTTTCCATTTCATAAAACTTGTAAATGTTGATGTAACAATAAGCTGTGAAGACAATAAAAATACCACACCAATGTATAATATATAATTATATTCTTGGTCGTACTCTTACACCGCGAATTTGCCAAGTGATTCAGACCGATATTCTTGAATAAGCTGGTAAGGAGATAATCTAAAATGAAATATTAAGTTAAATGAAACATGAAAATGATCTTGTTACACCATGCTCGTTCCGGGATTGAAAGGCGGCTCAGACTGGCTATTCGACGCACAGAGTGTGCAAATGTGCATTTTGCATGAGATGAAATGAAAAAAATAGACTTTGATAGTCATACGTACACATTGTAAAGCCATTTACAGAAAAGAATGATAAAGAAACATTTTCTAAGCAAAAACTTCCCAAACTTGGAAATCAGCTACTATCTCCAGCATTACCCGTGAAACGGAGGAAAGATAAAGCGGTTTGCCGATCACAACTCGATCTCACAAACATTAAGCAGTGCAAATTTACGAGTGAATTATTTTATATTTATTCTGTCAGAGAATGTAAAAAGTATGTTAAAGAATCCAAATCTATGAACAAGATCTGGACAGGAAATAAATGTGGTGACATAGAAGGAATTGTCCTCACTTACATGGTGTTATTTGGAAGACTATGAACGTAAATTCCACACGCAAAACTTTCAAAGGGACGTAAAAAGTCAAGAGAACGTCACTGTGTGAAGGATCAAAAGGAAACAATGATACATGTGACAAAAACATTAATATGATTTAAGGAACAAGAGTTGGTTGAGACAGGAGTTATAATATTTTTCATCCTTAAGAATATATTCTAGTCAAGACAATTTGCAATTTTATTGTGACTAAATATTAAGAATTGGTTTTAAACAAAATTCTCAGGAGGCCTCTTTTAAATTGGCGGATTGTCTTATATTCAGGTACATTCGATACATAACTTTATAGATATTAATACTACAGTCAGAGTATTGCAGATTGCATTGCGAGTGTTTAATTGTGTTTTTTCCTCAACAAATCCTTCATATTTTTAAAGTTAAAGTTCAATTGATCAAGTCTCCGTGAAATTCGCTTCCTCTAGAGTCATCACGGTTATGTGTTAGAGCTGCGAAACTCATCTATATTACTGAAATAAAATAGAAGACAACAATTAAAAGAAAAAAATCTCTAAAAATATCCGAGGATTTATTAACATTTCTCAGCTAGGCAGCAAGATGGGCATGAAGTAATTGGCACAAACGTAGGGCAGGTGTGAGAAACATGAACTTTGATATTGCTTGGGATGAGAAGAAGTATGCCCCAGCACAGAATTGGTAGCTTTCATTTCCTCTAAGGACAAGAAATTCTCCATTAGAGCACACACGGTTTTGCAACTTTGGTCCAACAAATCTTTCCAGATTTTCAATGCCTTAATACCAGATTCTCGTGTGGGGTTCTTGGAGACTAATTGTGAATCTGTGTCTAATCCAAAGTTGTGCAAATAACTAGTTTTCGAATCGGACTATGTTCCGCTACTGACTTTATCATGGTGTAAGTACAATTACAGATCTACCCATCAACAGTGAGGGGGGAGGGAGGGGGGGGGGCGAAGGATGGAAGGGCGAACTGAATAATTATGAAAATGGCCGGACGACTTCTTGTACCCTCAAATTTTGATGTTAAAAAAAAAAAGAATCGCAGCGCATCGAGTCGAGCCAGATCGACAGGTGAATATGGGAAACACTTGGGAAACAATCCTACGTACGTGTGTAAAGCAAAAGACAGAGACGCATGCAACTGGTAGCTTTAAGTGACCCTATTACCAAAAGGTGGAACGGAGTTTGAAAAGTGATGAGAGGTTTTCAACCTCAACCTTGATCATTGCGAGGCGGTGTAAAACCTTCTCAGCCAGGCGAGCCAGAACCAGTGCGAGCTGAAGATAGACGTCGTGATCCTGTGCAAGCAGTATATGAATATAACCAGTCTTCAGATACAGCTAATCGAGCTGCGGTGTGGATTTGTGGCAATATCCAGTCCAGGTTATGCAAGTCCCAGGGGATGGATTCACTTGGATGAAGGGGTTCGGTATATAGTGTTATAGTGTTTATGCCGCACTCAGTGCGTCGCTTGAAGATTTCAAGGCATTACTCGATAGTTTGAATGATGCGAGAGAAATAAGGCCTCTTATTATTGCTAGGGACTTTAATACATGGACCACTGAGCAGAGTGTACCGAACGAACGTGGAATGGCTATCATCCCGACCTTTGCCATGGGTGGTTACAGCTCCATCGTCGACTTGGCATTCGCGTGTGATAGCCTTGCTAAGCAGATAACGGCGTGGTACGTTAGCGATCATTATACGCATAGCGGCCACAAGCTATTGTATATGAAGTCAGGGAGAACTGGGTTCTGCAAGGGATGGGTGAACAACTTGGAACTACAGGTCGTTCAATCGCCCCTCTTTCGTTGCCATGATGAAGGGAAACTTAATGTTGTTCGGAAAATCTGAGGATATGGAGAGTACTGTAATGAGGCGGGTCTTTGATACTTGTGATACGTTTCCTTGCCAGAAGAATGTGTTGCAGCCTATGGATCCTCAAGATCTACACGAGCTTCCACCGGTTTCATTAGATGAACTGTCCAGGGCTTGCGATAACATTCAAGATTGCAAAGCCCCCGGCTTCAATGGAGTGCCGAATGTTGCAATTAAGACCGCTGTTAGGACTCGGCCACATATATTACAGGCACATAATGTGTACTTTTGAGAGGGGAATTTCCCCTGTCGACGGAAACTACTGGTCCTCCTTCCGAAGGGCTATAAGCCTCCCAACGATCCGTCAGCATATCGGCCTGCATGTTTACTGAATACTGCAGGCAAGGTGCGGATCATCTACAAACGAATGGAAGCCTACACGAAGAGACCAGGGGAACTGTCTGATAATCAATATAGCTTCAAGAAAGCGAGATCCACAGTAGACGCAATCAGGGTCGCCATCGATACCTCACGTAACGCTATTGAGGGCAACCGATGAAGAAGAAACACAAAGAAGTACTGCGCAATTGTACCCTACACGTCAGGAACGCATTTAATACGGCAAGGAAGAGTTCTATACTTGCTGAGCTAAAAAGCCTGGGAGTTCAGAACTACATTATGAAAATAGTCAGAAGCTACTTTGAGGAAAGAACCTTACTGTACGAAACAGAGATCGGGTGAAAGACCTATGGTATATCGGAAGTGTTCCACAAGGCTCGGTACTTGGCCCGCTGTTGTGGAATATTATGTATGACTCCGTTTTGAAGCTCCAGCTGCCGGAAGGCGCAAGGGCCATTGGATTTGCTGACGATGTTGCGGTGGTAGTGGTCGGCAAATATACTGAAGAGGTCACGCAGGTTGCAACGAGGCTGGAGCTGCGATCTGGCGATGACTACCGTCGGTGGAGCTCCAAATGGCTGTCTTGGTGACAGGCCGAAAACGGATAGAGGGAATTACTCTCAATGTAGGGGGTAGTACAATAGCATCCGAGCAGTCCCTAAGATACTTAGGAGTCACAGCTCCCAACATATCAGGCCTGCACGCCAACAGCAGGCGGAACATGCATTTGAGATTGATTCCAGCTCTGTTCCAGCTGTACAAGTGTTTCGAGTGTTAACATGGACATTTGTGTGCATTCTGTGTGAAGAATAAATACAAGTGTATGTTTCTGCGATATTGCGCTATTGTTTTGCTTCATAAACTTGTTTTGAGTTCAACTTATTAGAAAAATCACGCAATTCATTGGTAATTACTAAAGTTATATGATTTATAGGTTGTTTACGCTACTGTAGCATTTCATATGTATGTATGTGTATGTATGTATGTATATGTGTGTGTATATATAATAATGACAATATGCCTTTATTAATATGGCGAGGCTCGGGCCATTAGGCCCGCTCTTCCGCCTGACCACATGTCGTGTCATGGTCTCCGATATATATATATATATATATATATATATATATATATATATATATATATATATATATATATATATAGTGTGTGTGTGTGTGTGTGGTGTGTGTGTATTGAAACGCGGTGCGTTTCTTCAAATACATGTATTTTGAATACGGTAATGGCGGCGAGTAGCTGACGAATCAGCGAACGGGTCAGGCGCGAGAAGGCGGCGAGACGACGGCAGTTAGGACACGAAGGAGAGCGCAGCCGGTAATGATGCACGCGGCGAGTAAAAGGAAAGAAGTGAAGTTTAATAACAGAAGAGAAGCTATTAGGGAATGGATGAAGTGTGATGGTGGCAGTTAATTAGTGAAAGCTTGAAGAGGGGGAATAGGTTTCGAGAGATGTGACAAGGTAAAAAAAAACTACAGACCGCATTGCCGGTAACGACAGTGAAAAGTTGCCACGTGTATACTTGAATGTGAGAAGATACATGAAGTAGAACTGATATTACCAACGAAGGATAGGTGGACAGTAATATCGGCGTTAGTGCATGCCCGACCCGAAATACATTCACAATGGTGGGGGTCGAAACAGAGGTGTCGTGCGAACATTGTGGAAAGGCCTGGGCCCCTGGTTTCCCAGCGAAGGTCGTCAGTCCGAAGGGCGCCGATCGATGTGGCCGCTGGGGAGCATCCGAGAAGAAACTAATGGTTTATTGCATTCAAGGTATTGTGTAATATGAGCTCATATGTATAGTTTGGGTACCAAAACAGGGATTGATCAACCGGAGTTGATGTACGAAATTTGTGATTTTGTTAATAAAGTGTTTGTTTTAAAAAAATGATTGAATTTTCCCAATGTTTCCGTCAAACCTTCAGAGGTCCATTCACGATCCACACACCTGTCACACACACACACACACACACACACATATATATATATATATATATACACACACACACGAATATTGCATCGCCTGCCGAATTCGTTGCGCGCGGATTGCGTCATCTGCCGGCGCCCCTTCCCTTCCCCCCGAACTAGACGGTTCCGGACTATTCGCGAACCGCGGGGAAACGCCGAGAATGTGCCGGGTGCCTGGAGACAAGCGCAGGGCAGGTATAAATGCGCCGCTGCCGGCGGCCGCGAGTCAGTGAGTAGAAGACAGTGAGTAGTGAGAAGTAGCACTCGGAATAAGCAGTCAGTCCGCCAGTGTGTCTCAAGTGGAAGCTGTGCAGTCAAGTGTGCATTGCGGTGAAGAGTGGTGCAGTGGTTGAACAGCAGTCTGAAGTCTGCAGTGGAAGCTGAGCTGTGAAGTGGGCATCGCGGTAAACAGCAGTGCCGTGGACCCTGGTGGGCGCAGTGAAGTGCGGTCTGCGCACGGAATTGTGGTCTGCGCAGGGGAATTGTGGTATGTGCAGGGAATTGGGGTCAAGTGCAGTGGACCGTGGACAGTGGACAGTGCATCGGACTGACTGATACCGTAAAAGAAAAGAACAGTGTAAATAAATAGTGTGTAAGAAGTGAACTGTGTAAATAAATCATCAAGAGAACGGAGTCGTGTGTAAAGAAAAATAATTAAGTGTAATATATCTGTAAATAGACTAAGTAGATTTTAGTGTACAATTCTTCACAAATAAAAACGTTATCGTTTAAATACCAGTTGGTTTTAATTCACGGAGAAACGTTACTATATATATGTGTGTGTGTGTGTGTGTGTGTGTTATTAAATTTGTTACATACAATTTAAAAATTCGATGTTTTTATTATTTTAGGTTATCAAAATGCCGTTCAAGTGTTCATTGCCTGGATCCAATTCTAATTATCAGCCCCCTTATGTGACCTGCTTTAGATTTCCTCGGGATGAAGAACGACGAAAGCGGTGGGTAAATAGAATTCACAGGGAACATTTCCAGTTCACTAAAAATTCTCGGATGTGGACGAAAACTTTTTTCTTAATGAAATGAGTCCGGGAAGCCAAATGGAAGGCAAAAGATGGAAAAATCCATTACATTCTATGTGTCAGCCCATCCCTTCCATCAGATGCTATCCTAACTATTATTAGTAAAACCAAACCTGATTTGAATGCTCAACCTCTTAAGAAAAGAAAGTCTAGAGAAGGAGAAGAAAAAGGAGAAAATATCGAAGCTGTTATTAGTGCGAGCAGATGCAGTTATGAAATGAAACTGCAAGCAAGAAGGCTACACAAGTTTGAAGATGTGATAGTGTATGCAGAACAGTATACCAAATAGCGCGAAAGCTGGTTTATTATTCCTAAAATGACTATTTTAGAGTATAAAGCGAGCATATTGCCAGATCCTTCCATTATTATTTCTTTCGGTGTTCAAAGTAATAAGACGTTTGAAATATTCACACAGAGTTAGATGATAAAGAAATAAACATTAAGTTTACTGAAATCACAAGCACACATCAGAATAATAAACTGTTTCAATTCTGTATATTGTGTGGTACAAAGCAAGGGAAATGAGCTTTCCAGAACTTATTGAAATCATTTAATATGGATGATGAAAAGCAAAGTAGATTTAATATTTTACTAGAACAGTTACAACTTTTTCAGTTTGAAGAGAAACTTACATTAACTTCAGGACTTTAGATAGCATTAAAAATGTTTCTCGTATCACCAGATCGTATAGGTCAATTCGCAAAGCAAAAGTAGATATAATGCATCATTCTAGCAACTTAGGAGAGTTAGCATTTAATATAAATGTGTGTGATGATGATTTTACTTATGAAGAGAAACGTTTTAGATTCTTGAAACATAGGGGAAGAATAATTAATCTTTTAATGGAAAAAATATACATACATATTTCCCCTGAATTGTCTTTTAAAGGGGTAAGTAAGTTGGAACACGTATAACAAATTCACAGCAACTTGCTAAAACTGCCGAAGATTTTCCCAGAATTTCTGCATTTGGAAACTATTCTGAGGTCTTTGCTTTATTATCTCTCAGTAATAATTCTGGTGAATTCTTGTATTCCTCAGTTAAAAATATTCTTAGCAACCTGCACAATTTTGGTATAAGGGCAATAAATAGCAGATTTTTATGTCCTAAGAATCCTGAAATATGCACTTTAATGTGAAATAAAAATTAACAATATTTCATTTCCTGTATAAACATTTTTTTTTATAAAATTGAAGCTTGCTTGGAATGAAAAGATATATTTTTGTGCAAACATAATGCAATCTACTTTTTACTTGGCAGTAGAAATAATTGAAGTATTAAATATTCAGTTTAGTGAAGTGCAATGGATGTCTTGTTGCATTTATTGTGCCTGGTTTAAAAAATATATCAAGAAATATCCTACATTAAGACTAGTATTTTATCATCTATAGAAAAGAGAAAAAACGAAAACTGTGACAAGGTCATTCTAATTAACGAACGCTCACAAATAAATAGTAGGTGAAAGATTAAATATTTTAGAAATAAATCTCAATTTTTAACGAAATATGCCAAATATGTGTCTATAACTACACGAATATGTACCAACAGGAAAAATCGGAACTGGATTAATCAAAAGAATCTTGTTTTCAATTTTCCTGATTTTGAGAATCCAGATATTATTTCTGCTGATTTTAATCATCTTAGATTGGGTTCTAGTAATGAAAAAATAAATTACTGAGGTTTGAAAACACGTGAAGTACAAAAGCATTGTATCCAACCAGTGTTGAACGCCAAAAAGTGAATATTGAGTGTAAAATATTCAATTATGAGAATATTAATGCACTTGATAAATACGGTGCAAGTGTTATTAAAGGAACAGTTAAGTTTTTTAAAAATTGTTTTAAAATGGTAGAATATTGTTAATGTAAAGTTTTTGAATAAGAATGAGGCATAAAAATGATTTCAGGGCTATACGCAATGCTCATCAACAGTTAATATATCTATCCAATTTTGCATCAAGGTTGAATAAGTGGGAGGTAATTGTCAGGAGCGGTACTTACCATGGTCAAAACAGACATTTGATGCAGCAAAACAAACAGGTTCTGGGCTCTTTGGTTTGACTTTGCATTCATTGAGTGAACTGAAAGTAGATTTTGCCCTTTTCGGAAAATTTCAAATGGATTCTCTCCTGAGGAACGTTTCAGTGTGTATTGTCAGATGTCGGGCAGGAATAATTATATATCTTTTCAGTAGCTTTTGGAATCAGAATCCAAAATATTTTGTCGTTTCCATCACAAAGTGGAAATATTATTGTTGTTAGTATTCTTAAAATTAAGGGAGACCAACAAAGTTAAAATGTCCCATCTTTACTTCCTTTTTTAGATCTACAAATAGATAATTCATATCAAAGAGAGAATGATGTAATTTATTTTACATATTATATTTCTGGATATGCGGCTTTCAAAGTAACACAAGTCAATCAGCTGTATTAATTGCACTAAATTACTGGTTGTGATAGGCATTGTACAGTATGAATTTGAAGGAGCAGGAAGACTTATTGAAGCTATGGACAGAGGTTCTCTTAAGAGACCAACATTGCATGTTGTAAAAGTTACAACTATTTGCATGCAGGTGTTTGAAACTATTATTAAATATTACAATGAATAACCCATACAGAGTACAAACATCTTGTTCTCCTGCAACATGTGTGTTCTCCATGTCACTGTGGTAAGACTTAAGCGAAATGGGCATTGCTCATTGCAATCATTATTATATTGGTGTATTAATGGTGTATGTTCCATAATTTGTAAAATTATTTGAACAATTATTCTACAATGATAAGTGAAAAACAGAAGACTGATAGTAGTGACAAGAAGAAAATTAAGAAACTTTCAAGTTCTAGACAGAAGTATGTTGTTCACTAAGTTTCTTAAAGGTTTTGAAGAACCTTAATTTTGTATATTTAATTTTAATTGGTTTAAATAAATATTTTGTGAAAAAAAAAACACAATTACATAAATAAGGATAAGAAAAATGAATGGGGCCAATTTAAAGGACTATTTTACAATTGTAAATGCCTATTTTAAGTTTTTATGTGCCTATTTTACGTTTTTAAATGCCTTGTTTGCCTGCATATTACTAGTTTTTCATGCCTATAAATCCTCAGCTTAGTTATAAGTAGGAATCGAATTTCTATGATTTTCCATATTTTTGTTTTTGCTTCAAGGAATAGCTAAGCGAAATTTGGTTAGAATTGGATGCAATGTAAATTAATATGTTGGTGGATATTTGGCCAAATTTTCCTGTTGGTGCATATATGTGTAATTATAGGGGCATATTTTGCATATTTCATTAAAACAGACTTACCTCTAAAACGTTTCCACTTTCCACACAATCTATTTATTATGAAAATTTTCTATTAATAAACAAATTTTCAGTTAGTGTCTTTTTTCTTTTCTATAAACAAAATACTTGTACAAACGCAGTAAATTTCTAGATACAATTCTTTTTAACCAGGCAAAAGAAATGCAATATACTTCACTAAGGTGAATATTTACATTTATTATTTCTCCAATGAAGGTAGATTATATTATTTGCACAAAAATATATATTATCATTCCAAGCTTCCGTCTCCTGAATTTTATCAAGAAAGGTTAATGTGGGAAATGAAATATTGTTAATATTAACTGCATACCTAAGTGTACATTTGAGAGTTTTTGTGAGGAGGAGGGGGAAGGGGGAAGAGGGGAGGAGGAGGGAAATCACCCCCTCCAAAAAAAAGTTCAATAACTATTAATTTTAACCACTCACGTTTTTAACGCAAAATTACGTGAAAATAATAAAATTTTCGAAAAATTGTACATGACCGTACTTCAAAACCTATTTTAAGGAACAGATTCCATTACGGGGCAAAATCTTCAATATTTTGGTAATAGGAAGACTCCGAAATTTTTTTGAACTTGCAATTTTCGAAAAATCAGATTTTAACGAACATGAGACCCATACAATTTTCTTAAACGTCACAGTATCTAACAGAAAATCAAAAACGATAAAGCCATGTTTTTGAAAATTTGAAAAATGGCCCAGATGAAAAATGCCTCCAGGGGCCGCGACATCAGCCAGATGAATTGGAGGAAATCGGCCGAATGATTTAGCCGCAAGCGTTGTTTCACGGACACACGACAGAGAGACGTTTTTTTCGTTATTCAATTTCTCGGTATCAAGGACATGGGCAAACATAACAAACTGGATTCTGACTAAACCACGTGTTAGAACATTTCTCCCCTTAAATTTAGAAGCTGGCTTCAGCCACTTCTTCGTGACCAGGACCCCATAGTAAAGACTTTTTTTTGGTCGTTTTCGCTGTTTTTTCGCGCAGCATTATATAACCTTATCTCCACTCCGTCAAAATATTTTCGGATACTCAAAAAAAATAGAATCGAATCGCAGCGTTAGTCAGGTTAGCCTGCGACATTACACAATCAGTAATATGGCCAATTCGACCAAAAAATATAATAAAAAACTATCATTTTTACCGATAACACTCGACTCGCAGTTGGACATCCCTAGGATGGGGAAATATAATAACAAAGGGACGAATCTTCATGTTCTAAAACATCGCCAAAATGATTGATAAAATGACGTATTTTTTTATTAAAATAAATTCAGATATGTAACTCAAGATGTTGGATTGTTACTGATGTAATCACAGTGGCGGATCGAGAGCGGGGGTCATGCCCCCCATTACAAAGGACGTAGAGAAAAAATTAAAATAGTAAAAGGTGAGGAAAAATAAAAATGAGACACACAAGAAAAGAATGTACAAACGTCTAAAATGTATCGAAAAAACAGCGTTCCATCCTTGGCTTTTGGTTACGAATGGGAATCCTCATTCTCGCTGTATTTGAGCCTAGTAGTATGGAAAATGTTTTCGACAGTTTTCCTGCGACAGCTCATCTCTATTTCTTACTCTGCTTCACCACAGGCTTGGCAAGCGGTGCAACGTGGAATTGCACGTATTGGAGTGTGGCCGGCGCAACCGGAAACTTGATGAAATAAGGTATTTACGTGCCAAGCGAGTGATAGTGGAGCGCTATGACATTTCGCGCAATTACAGTGTGCCCGAAATAAAAGAATAGGGAGTGGATCGCTTGCACGCGCTTGGAGTCGGCGCGATTAATAAGTACTAAACAAGAGAAAATACCTAAAAAGAATAAGAATATACAGTACGGGGAAAAAGAATCTGAAATCAGGTTAAGTTAATATATACCATATAATATGTAGCCAAAATACACATCTGCGAAGTTAAAGAACAATATCTTGTGAATCCTAAGAAAAATTAAAGTTAAAAAAACATATTTTAAGTAAATCAATTGATCGTAAAATATATTCCACTTCTAGGTTTTTAAAACTATTAACAAGCCTATACATTATATCAGAAAAATCAAAATTATTTCGATCCGATGAGCCCTAAAGTTCAAGGGGGCGGCACCAACTAATGATGTCTAGAGCGTCACATATACAAGTTCAGAAAGGATTCGGAAAAATCTTTTGTAAACCGAAAGGGACACTAAATGGCTACAAATGCGATTGCTAGAAACTTTCACTTCAGTACAAGACCACCCATTATACTAAAACTGAGTTTCCTCGGACTGATTCAATGTCACTATTTTGTTCGTACAGATAGTTTATTTTTACAAAAAAACATTTCTGGCCATGCTTTTTGCAAATTCCGACAGTATTTTACGAAAATACGAAGTAATGATGGAAAATGGACACAACGGGACACACAATTTTATTTGTATATGGCACCGACCGTAACGTTTTCCCTAAAAATCGACCAATAAGCGCTATTGCTGCCAATATGCGTCAGACTGTTTCCGTTTATACTACGTTAGCAATATTCAGTTCTGCGTAAGTTGGGAAAGAGAAAGGAGTTAGGCGCTATAAAGCAAGCTATAGTTAATTTGGCCTTGAAGGGCTATTCCCTTAAGAACATTGGTAAGGTCATCAACACCACTGGGCAAGATGATATAAATAAGTTCAGTTATATTGGTTCGACTGAAAATTTACCCTGGTGGAAGAAAAAAAGATGTAAACTAAATAATCCCCAATTCAGCGCTCACAATCTCAGGATAGTTGTGAAAAATCCCTTCAAAAAATGTGTGTGTGTATATATATATATATATATATATATATATATATATATATATATATATATATATACACACACACACACACACACACACACACATATATACCGAAACTGCGACGGTATTGCAGATATGGTTATCACGGAAGTGCGTGTCGAAAGAAACTTTCAGTAAGCAAAAAGAACCGTGCTGACAGAGTGCATGAGAAGGAGCATCTGAACAAGGTCAGTAATTTTTGAAACACCGTGATGTGGTCGGACGAGACCAAATGAATCTGGTTGCATAGGATGGAAGGAATGTGAGGCGAGAAGTAATCACGGAATATAGTGTTGAACACACATTCACAGTAAAGTTTCTTGGTTCTAAAATGATATAGGGGTGCATGTCACCTAAGAGAGATCGAATTTTAAAGAACACTTTTTAGTGACTAAAAATCTTTATCATCAATATTGTGGTTTTGCCATGTTAGTTTTTCGCATTTTCGTAAATATGGAGATTTCGCCGAAAATGGGACCTGCGTCATTTTTATAACTATTTTGCACTATATGAGATAAGAAAACAATCAGTTTTTGAGAAAATGTTTTAAATATTTCCTCAGTTCACCCAAAATTACGTGAAACTTATTGATATTTTCGAAAAATTGTACACGAGCTACTTGAAGAGCTTTCTTTGAAGAATAGATTTCATCAGAAGAAAAATCTCTTCATTAATTTTGTAGTTTACAATTTTCAAAAATTAAAAGAGTTCAACGAAATACGACCAAAATACAATTGGTTGCGCCATGGTAAACTTTTTTTTAAAAAATTACGCCTTTGAGAAAATTTTTAAAAATTCATGCTTTAGTTAAACATTCGAAATATGTTTCAAATTTACAGGGCATCTTGGGACTTGCTGCTGCATACAGGAATGACGAATTACTGAACTTACGTTTGGAAGATGTCACGGATGAAGAGCAGTGTATTCGAATAATAATACCAAAC